TTAGAAGCTGGGTTGAGGACACCACCAAACTCTTTCCATTTGTGACTTAGTCCAGATTTAGGAAGTCTCCAAAATGCATTCTGTTAACAGATCAGTCCTTACCTCCCCTCCTTCTTCTGAAGTGTTTCTCACACTTATGCATTTTTACCATGTATAAGCTAAGAATGAAGTGTTCCTGTAGCTATTTTTCCAAATAATGAGAATAATACCATAACATTAAATTGTATACTCTTTGGAGCAGGAACCTTTCTTATTGTTCTGTTTGTACAATGTGTAGTAGTGCAATGAGTGAGGCTCCTAAGCATTACTGCAAAATGTATCATATAAATAGTCCCTCAGATGCTTTTGCCACAATATGCTGTTCTTTCATCTTCCTTTCAGCTATGTTTTAGGTAGTGTGCCACTTTTGCTTCCATATATGCCTGACAGGAGAGCTTATTGTGTTTAAGGATTGTAACGACTTCAGAGGCAAGTTAACTCATCCATGCTCCAGTTTCATGCTGGTGATTCTGACCAAAATATCTACTGAAATATCATCACCAGTAGTTCTCAGTGCTTGTGAGATATTGATTACACTTTCACAAAATAGTGGCCCCCACCAGAGGTTATACAGGCAAAAGAGAGTCCAGCAACAGAAACCATATTTGCACCAGTCAGAGCAGAAGCAGCAGTTGACATGACAAAACAGGTCTTCCCCTTTTTAAGCTCATATGTATGGGCTGCAGAATAAAGATGAATTAAGATTACACTTTCAAAGTTGGATCTTGTGGTAAAATGATAGGGAGATGTGAGAGTTTCCCTTCACCATATGGTGTATGTAATCTGTGATAAAGAGACTGCAAAACATTCTCTACTTTTCTGTTCTCAGAACAAATTACCTCTGGGAAAAAAAGACAAATATGTTGCTGTGTAGTGATACAGAAAATATCCACATAATAAAGACATTGAACGTAGAACTGTATGTGTGTTCATAGAGTTGGCTCTTTTGAAAAGCAAGTCCAGTATTTCAAAGTGTTCTGATTCAGATCTGCACATCAGTGCTTCAACCGTTTCCAGCCAACTTCTTGTTAAATACTTGCAGGACTTCCTGTGGCGGATCTTAGATTTAGGCACTGCAAATAATGTAAAGGTTTCTTTTATAAGTCCAATAGAAGGGCAAGGCTGGTGTTTACAAAGTATTCAGTATGGAAATCCTGTATTAATTTATCTGGATATACTCCACTGAGGTCTATAGACACAATGTAACCTTTTAAATAAAAGGTGGCTGCATGCTGCAGCCCTTGCCAGAGTTGCAGTAAAATCAGGAAAAAATAAGCAGGAAATGGCTAGAAGGAATTACAGTAGATGGCAGAGTTAATCCTAACCATAGAAGGCAACTGTTATGGAATAACATAAGGATGCTTTTCTCAAAGTGAATATAAAAGGCTATAATGTGTAAATGAGGTTATCCCATCAATAGGGGCGCTATCAAGCAAGAGGGTGTACCTCAGGCTAGCGATCTCCTTTCAGGAGCAATTAACATAGACAATATCAGATGTTATTTTTATAGCATGAAAGAATTAAGCTCTGCTTAAAATTATCTATTTAGGGAGCTTTTTAGTTTGCAGAGGTAACTATACCCTGTTTAGTAATAGATATGTAGCCTTGTTAGTCTGGTCTAGCTGAAACAAAAAACAGGACTATGTTTACTACCTTCAGACAAGGGGCGGAGGTGTAGGATTTTAGGCGTTTTTAATTAACTGTAAAGCACTTTGAGATTCTCAGTTGAAAGATAGCATAGAAGTGCAAGATATTAGCATTGTTATTACTCTGTACAGTGATTAATAGCCACACAGGGTTGTCCCTCATCTTAAACTTGTCAGAGTACCTATTAATTTGATCCTGGTACTGTAAATGTATGTTAAGTACAATTTGTAAAAATTAAACAGTGTTGGTATTTAATTTCCCTCTAAAGGAAGCTTATATAGTAATATACATTGCTTCTACATGGGACACAGTGAAATCCTGTTTAAAAACAAACTGAATTACAACCCTTCAGTGGTTGGAAGGGCAGTTTTGCCAATGTATTAAATACCTGGCAAAAAAAAGGTGTTTTAATTTTTTTAAGTAAATGTAAGCAAACGCAAAGGAATCATACTGTTGGAAATATTTTCCAGTGTTTATATTCAGATGTTCAGACCTGTCTGGCTCCTCTCTGTTTGCATGTGTTGGGGTTATAGGCAGTCCAGCTACATTCCACATTGATTCATATAAATATATTGCAGATTATTAACTTCCAGCCAAATACCAGGGAATTTGCTTTTCAGAATGTTTAGTGACTTTTCACAAAGCTTATTTACTATACAGAGGTATGCATCTTCTCTATATTGCCCCATTAAGGGAATTATAACAAGAATAATATTTGTTCAGGGCTTTTGCTATTATAGCCAATATTAGCCTCATAAATATGCATTCTCATGTTCAACCGATAAAAGTTTATTCATATAATTAATTAAATAAAAATAAAAATTTCATATGGAGAGGCAGAACCTCTCTCTGTTAAAATTGCACCAAACTTCTATCCTATAACCTATATAACTTTGTCTCAGAAAATTACTGAGAGTCTAAAAACTGCCATATTTGCAATGAAAACAAAATAGAATATTCCCTTAAAGAAAATTAATCAAAAGGATGTTTAAATAGTAGGTAATCTAAAAATCACTCTGATTTAAAATACTAACTTTTCTCTATTTCTTTGTTTTCTTCTAGCGTAGAACTACTTTTTACTTGTCCTTTGAATTTACCAGACAGTTCAAGCTCCTTGGAAACTCATGTGCTAGCCGTGTTTAATGTACATAGTTGTTATTTAGCAAAGCTATTAAGATTTTTGTTGTGGGTCTTTTGGTGCACAATTCTGATCTGGTGGATCTCAAAATAATTGTTTTGCCATCGTCTATCATTAAAACAGAATTGTGCATAAGGGGCAATATCCTTAGCTAGTATGAACAGTTGCTGTTCTGTTGACTTTAGCAGAGCTACGTTGATTTATACAAGCTAAGGATTTGACCCTATATATTTGTAAGAGAATATCTTCCTTCTGTAGATTAATTAGCTTAGAAAGCACACAATGATATTTCTGTAATGAACTCCTAATACAGTAAAACTCCAATAGTCCGGCATCCAATAGTCCGGCACTCCTGATAGTCCGGCATCAAAATGGCAAGAGCCTAGTGAGTGAGCTTCAGAAAAAAATGAGTCACAAGGTAACAGCGGCAGCAGCTGAACTGAGCAAAAGGGTAAAAAAGGCTTAAAAAAACTAAAATATTACAGTATACTGTATACAGTATGTAAAATAAAAAGGGTTAAGAACACTTTATATACAGTATATAATGTATTCAGTATCAGGTTGAAACATTTCTGTATATAAAACCAGTTTATAGTACCTCCTGATAGTCCGGCATATCTGATAATCCGGCATCACCTAGGTCCCATACGTTCCGGATTATCGGAAGTCTACTATAGTAATCATCCTTGCATTCCAGTGGTGGACGCGGGGTTTATGAGAGCTGTAGAACCAAGAGCTAATATCAGCTCTTCATATGTAAGTTTGGTTGTGAATAATCTCAGCAGTCCCATTATAAAGCTGATTTTGATCCACCTTCCAACTCATAAAGAACCCTTTTGCTCATTTTTAGGTTTAAGTCTTATTGCCAAGTAGAAGATTTTCTGAACATTTTGCTTAAATGAAATAGGAACGTCATGAAACCAAAAAAGAGGAGAAATTGTTACAAAATCTCTGATGTTGGTCTTTGATTTCCCCAAGAAAATCCTAATACACTACAAAATATTAAACAGATTTTTATGCTGACTCGTGCAATAGGCAGTTTTCAAGCACAATAATCATTTAAGAAATTGGCAGTATTTGAAAATGAGACGTGATCTTTTGTCATTAAAGCTGTTAGAGGGATATATATCGGGCATCATAGAGAGAATTTTCAGTGCTTATCTCTGAATTTCCCAGGACTAATTTTCAAAAGTGAAAGGAAATGAAACTCTAGGTTGTGATAAAATTATTCCTCATCAAAATGTGCCTTTGGCCAAAGACATCCATTTTCAAAATGAAATAGATAAGAAGCCAAGTTTAAAGTTACTAACCATAGACTGTATAGGTAATATTTATTAAAGCTGGGGCCAGACCTCTATGTGGTAAACCAGTAAGAGCATCCAAGAGAGAACACTGCCTCTCTTCAAATCTTTGCATTTAAGCCTACTGTAAATGGAGATAATAAAATAATAATAATAAATATTTTGAGATCTACAGATGAAAATAGGGTGAGAAAGCAGACGAATGTACATAAAAGAATACAGAAATCTTTCAAAATGAGAAAGGGGGAGTATCTTAGTAGCTGTATTTTGTATATAAAAGTTTTTTATAAACTCCATTTCCTGACTTTCTTTCCTGTTTTCAACAACAATCAGTGCAAAAATATTGTTTCAGTAGGCCAGTAGAGAAGGAGAATGTGATTCTAAACTGAGAGATAAATCATGTAATGGTGTTTGCTGGAGAGATGTGGGAAGAAATTAACAGGTGCATAAAAGCAGTCAGCATCTTTTTTTCTCAAAAAAAGTCAGAGCTTACTTATGTTCTCTTGAAGAAGAATGAAAAGGGAGCAAATGTGGGAGGAGGGAGAGAACATGTATGCACAATCAAATCATTTTCTGTATTCGGTTAATTGTAAATGTACCTTGATAAGAACTGATCATCTCCTCACCTAACTACTACTCTATGATCATGCTATGAGGTCATAATACTTGTGATTTCAGAATCAAACATGAAATTTGAATGTGATGTTACAAGTAGTTGATTAAATTATAAAGAGCTCAAAAGATAGTCATGGTTTGCGAAGTTCTTTCTTCACTCTCATGTTTTATTACAAATGAAAGCATACACGTGTGAGCTGCAAGGTTCTACTTCACTGGTTTTTATCAACTTATCTCTCCTTTACTTTTCTTCCTTTCAGGTTATTTGATGTATGCACAGTGTCACGAACAGATAGAGAGACCAAACTAACACTAGTGTTTGAACATGTTGATCAAGACTTGACCACTTACCTGGATAAAGTTCCGGAGCCTGGAGTGCCTACAGAAACTATAAAGGTACTAAAGAAGGATTTTTTTCTCTTAATAATTTTAGGAAATATTAATGTGTAAACACAAAGGGCTTAATCATAAGGATCTTACTCAGGCAAGCTATCTTTTGCTTCACTGGGAATTTGCATGAGTGAGGGCTGAGTAAAAGCTGAATAATCGCCTTACTAGAGCTTGAGTTCTAGTCCACTGAACTGTGGGCCAGTAACTGATTAATATTTGTGCTTGTTTTCCTTTGGTTTAAATTTTATGCCCCACCCACCCCTGCCAGTTCTCCCCCCACACCTTTCATTCTTCTGTTTCCCATTAATCCTCCCAGATCTGCATTTGCCATTGGAAGTTATCAAATACCTTCACTTACAGTAACATATCCCATCAGTCTTCCGCTATGGCAGATTATTCCTTAACTGTCCACTTCAGGGTTATTTTAACTGTTCTCTAAAGCATCCGTTAATGAGCATCAGAGACAGAACACTGGACTAGATGAATTGCAGTTGCGTGGTCTGTTATAACAAGGCCTACACTCTCCTATCATTTTTTTCTGGTTTTTTACCTTTATTTTTATTCTTTTTCACCTGTTTGTCTTTCCCGCCCACACATAATAGAAAGCTACATCTAGTGCTCAAGACAGAGGGCTTTCATTGATGGCTCTGTGTTCCAGAGACTCTTGTGTTCTTGCAGCTGAGCTCAGTGTCACTGGACAAAGCTTAGGTTGGCATATTGCTACCCTATACATGTGAATCACTCCAATACCTTTATTTTTATTCTTTTTCACCTGTTTGTCTTTCCCGCCCACACATAATAGAAAGCTACATCTAGTGCTCAAGACAGAGGGCTTTCATTGATGGCTCTGTGTTCCAGAGACTCTTGTGTTCTTGCAGCTGAGCTCAGTGTCACTGGACAAAGCTTAGGTTGGCATATTGCTACCCTATACATGTGAATCACTCCAATGGC